TCAAAGTCAAGTAAGATTTCCTTTTTGTTCAAGTTAACTGAATCAAAGATGATATAGTCTATGCAATTATAATTCCTACCTATATATAGGTACCAAATACGTGCCATTTTATTGGAAAATAGACTTGCCAAGTTTGCCAGTCAATCAAAAAGATCTTAATGCTGCCGAGGCTTCTTATAATTTTTCAAATTTTATGACTAAGTGAATAACCGTCAATTTAACAATATAGCATCTGTCAATTGAACCAAATTGATTTCTGTTATTTAGATGTTGCGAAACACCAAGCCAGGCTTTTTTGGCAAAGCGCGAAAGATCCAAAATCAAAAATGAATTAAACTGGGATTGAATATGAAATACGGTTTAAATCGTTCACTTGGTTAGTCATATAATAATGAACGTTGGTAAGTATATATGGCGCATTTCTCATAATGTTTTTTTCATATTGCTTATTGCTTGTATATATATTCCCTAAAGGAAAAATGATAAAAACGAAATTGAAGATATTGCAAAAACTTTGCATGATATTCATAATAATCCGTAAGTTAAATTTTTCATTGTAAACACAAATTTCATATACAATATAGTGATTATTCTACTAGGTCCACAGCAGCTGAGAAAATTAGTAGTGTTTTTTTATATTTGACAGCCTAATAGTAAAACTGAAATGGAAGAACTTGAGCGTAGAAACATGATGCAAATTCTTCAGCGTATATAGAGAACTTTCAAATTTTAGAACAAAAAGAGTTTGTAAAAAACTGAGGGCAAAAACACATTATATCGATTACTTGTTTTTTCCCGCAGGCTGGATATGTCGTGTTTTTGCTCTCAATTTTGTATATAGTTTTTTTCCTCGCAACAATCGGGATCTTGTTTTTACGCCGAAAAATTGATTTTTTTATACGCGTGTGATACGACAGTGTCATTCCAGCGGTCTTCCGTGTGTTTCATACAAGCCTCCCATGTAAATGTTAAAAAATGGCGAAAAATGAAAAAAATAATTAAATTTTTTTTCTTCAATTCTCAAATACTACTCAACTTTCTGTATCATCTGGTGAAATCGCATTCCTTATCATCCAAATCATGATCTGGATTTTTTTCACTTTTGGAGTCCTCTATACCGAGTCTCCGAGAGTTTCATATAAGCTTGCTATGTGATACCCATTGAATACTGACCAAATGCCAATCGTGATTTTGATGATATGGAATGCGATTTTTTTCATTCTGATTTCATTAGGTGATACAGAAAGTTGAGTAGTATTTGAGAATTGAAGAGAAAAAATTTAATTATTTTTTTCATTTTTCGCGATTTTTTTATCATCTACATGATCGTAGATATATGGTCCGCCTCGCTCATAAAAAAATCCGTTTTTTCGGTTTAAAAACAAAACTCCGATTGTTGCGGGCAAAAGAACTATAGACAAACTTGAGAGCAAAAACACGACATATCGCTTATTCACTTTTGCTCTGATTTTGCGTATGTCGTGGTTTTACTCTCAACTTTGTGTGTTGAATTTTTGCTCTCGATTATGATATGTGGTATTGTTTTACTCCAAACAAAAATACATGCTATTTTTACGCATAAGAAAATTAAGTGTTGATTTTACTATCAGGCTGTCGTTTGTCAAGATTTACATAATCTCTTATTATATACGAAAGTTGTAAACACATTGTCAAATGCAAAAAGAGCAAAAAATTTAAAAAAATAAATTCAATTTGAACATTATTTCTAAGTTATTCCAATTAAGCAATGAGTTTTACTTGTGTCGTCAACTTTCAAACTGTTATTATCTTCGAAATTATCGCAAAAAAAATTATTTGTTCATTTTTGTTGCGTCGATTCGAAAATGATAATATGTTCGTATTAAAAAGTTTGAATTGTTTTTGCATTTTAAGTCATTTTTTTCAATTATTTTTCCTAACAAAAAAGTCTCGAGGATGCAACAGATATGATGATTGTAAATTTTCATCATTCAGTTCAAGTATTAAAATGTTTTTATTTATTTTTTCAAAATTTCATCATTAAAATATTTTCGGGATTATACAATTTCGGAATTATATTATATATTATATTATATTATTGATTGCTATAGAATAAAAACAGCGTATGAATTTCATACTATGAAAAGGTTGCATTTCAAAGCGAAACACCGTCATACAAAATACAGCAAAAAATGTATCTAAAAACAACCTTTGGTGTGCGACCGTATCATACGCTGTATTTATTCTAGAGAATTCAATTGGAATATACTACAACCAGAATATATTTAGTGTACCTTCTAAATTAGAAGAATAAATACAAAATTTGGTCGCCTACATTTTCTACTATTGACCAAATTGTATTGAAATCACAACTAGGTATGTCACACACGAATTTGATTTCGGTATTTTAAAAAAATAATTCATTGGCATATTTTTCCTATTTTGCTAGATAAAAACTATCAATAAAATGAAACAACACCAAAACAAACCAATCAATTAATCCAAATTGAACTTTAAAAAAAACAACATATGTGTACGATTACACCGTTTAAGTCAGCTGATCAAAATGATAAATACCGCAGAGGGCGAATAAATTTGAGAGAAAAAATGTTTGGTACGTATGATATTCATTTGCCTCGAATCTTGGATGAATCCGAAAAAAATTATCATTGAACCGGTACTCTATTTGCATTCCATTTCGTTGTTTATTGAAAAAGTTGATGTCAATCGAATTGATCCACTTTGATTCAAAGAAGATGAAGAAGAAAAAAACCCGCGACGAGTTTACGATAAGAGCTTTGAACCGCACAATACTGATTATAATATTGCGACTAATAAACAGTAATCCAAGCTGTGTATCCTCGAATTGGCGCCGAAATCAATTCACTCTAAGCAATCTAACCGAACCGGAGAAAAAAAAGCAATAAACTGATGAACTTCAAACTAAAACGCAAAAAAGAACAAATCAACTAAAAACAAATCATATTTCAATCATTTATTTATTTATTTTGTTCGGCTCCAACTTTATCTTCTTCTTCGCTTAGAATTGGCAAAAAACATATTCGTGTGTATAGCAAAACAATGACACATTTTCAAACAATCAACGACTTAACGTGGTATGTGATTGGCCGTCGAACGAACGAGAAAAAAAAACCATATACGATATTTAAAACAAAAGATATCCATACGGTATGTATTTTACGATGGTTGTGCAACTCATGAATTCAAGCCTCACATATAGAATTGACATTCATTCATTCATGTAAGCCCCATAAAAATAAAAATGTGCTTGGCAAAGCACAGGCAGACACTTAGAGCAGTAACAGATAAAATAGTGATGAGATGCAGAAAATGCCATTGATTACGATTCAAAGTAGTTTTTTTTTTCTTTTTCATCTTCTTCATACATTTTTTGTTGTTGTTTTAAATCTTGGCTGATCATAAAACTGTAATGACAAATAACATGCGGAGGCCGAAAGGTTGGTGTGTGCGCTGCGCTCTATGTATAATGCGCCGGTTTAATAAAGATAATGCGATTGCTTTGTATTGCCTTTTTTATGAGGACTGTATTTGCATTTTGGCTGAAATTTGATTGAAAAAAAATCACATTCATTATATTATTTAGAATTAGATCATCAAGTGAATCGTAATTCGTAAAATTACAGTCTACATAATTTGCATATTTTTTTTTGTAATTCTTAATTAATAATTCTGATTTTACGAATATCTTGCACGCGGAAGAACCGATTTAATTATGAAGAATATTGCATTTGTCTCCGATAAATGAGTCATCCAAAATCAATCGACATTTTTGTATCATAGGTTTATTAGTATCCGTCTTACATTAATAATGAACCGCACGTAGTACATTCGAAAAAAAAAACGTTGTCGTCATGCCCATGCCATTCGGATCGCAATTTTTACGTAAGCCATGTATGTTTGACTTAATTTTTCAAGTCCAAGTGCAAAAGACAAAACCATTTTGCTGATATTATTAATTAACGCACACCGAATTCAAACCAAATCCGAAAGCCAAAAGACGCTTTGAAACGAAAGAAAAATTTTGGAACTTAATTACAATGACAACATTTGCTATGTATGCATGTTAATGGAGCAAAGAACGATTATATGCTCGCGTGCTGTTTATTACGACGGCCATGCGAATTCCGATCTATGAACATCTCTCATTGTCAAAACAGCAAATCGAACGATTCAATGTTTTGTATTTCACAATATGCACACCATTCTCAACCATTCGTCGTCCACATTCTAATTAACGAAACACACAAAATTACATGAAACATTTTTAAAATCAAATAAAAACGCCATTCGATCGATGATGAAAAACACACACACACCTTTGCCACTCTAACGGAACACTTTTTTGCCGTCTCAAAATGTTTGAATGATTTATAACATCTTAAAGTAAGAATTTGCGGTTTTTCCGTTGTTTTCATTTTTCATCATTAGATCTTCTATTAATTTAATTCATTAATAGGTGCTATTTGGTGGCAAATAAAGCATTAATTGTTCAAAGTTGTCTATAATAAATATTGACTAAAATAAATGTTGTAAAATATTGTCTTTATATTGGATACCAAGAATACCAAGAATAGCACATTTTGTGAATAAAAATTATTGCTTCTACAAGGTTAAATCTTGAAAAGTAAGCAAAATATGATTATCCAAGGAGATATCACTGTATATTTAGATTAATTTAAATGAACCCAAATTTTGGTTTGATATGTCTAAATGAATTGTATACAAATGCAGTTAGTACTATAATCAAATGAAATGCTGAGCTCACCAAATCAAATGTATTAACATTGTCTCACATTTTGATATAAACGGTTTATAATAAACAGTAAAAGTGTATGTATGCTTAATTAATAAAAAAAACAGTCTCTTACTTTGCCAAATGTTTGCGTGCAAATTGTTTACATTTCTTTTTCTCTGGAAATAAGTGCGCAATATATTGATATCCAATAATTGTATAACGGTTGTGTAGAATGCCTTTCTATAATTCATTCTGTGTTTTACAGCCACTGCAGTAAGTTCAAAATATACGAAAAACATAAAAAGAAAGCGACAAGTTACGCGTACCAAATGGATCCAAACAAAAAGGATGATATGTTGACCCCAAAACAGGTAAATTAAATTGATTTTAATTTAATTTCAATTTTTTGCAATTGGCCTTATTGGACATCAAATTTCAACCAATTTAATTCTATTAGGATCTATTTTTTTAAACAGGAAATTCGTCGTACATGGATATGCCGAGAATGTGGTGGAGCTGGAGTTGGGCCGACATCTCGAGATGTTCATTATAATGCGGGATGCAAAGTTGATCGCTCGAAAGTAATTTTCTCGCCAAAAAAATAATGACACCAAGATGGATGAGAAATAAAACCGCACGGCGCACATACTTCAACTCTTTTATAATTGTCTATCGAAATATGAAATAAATGAAGTATAAATTGAAATAGGATGATTGAGTTTTATTTTATTTTGCTTACTTTTATTCTTTATCTTTCAAGTTCAAACTGAATTGTTGATTGAAATCGTGCTTTGTAAGAACATATATTAAGAATAGAATACAGAAAGTGGAATCAATGTGATATTCTGAATGGAGAATGCGCAATCAAGCAGCTCATGAACAGACAAACGCAGGTGTTCGCAAAATGGTAATTCAAGTTCATTTTACCGAAAATTTATGTTTCAATCTCACTTCCAATGTGGAATACAAAATTTATTGTACATATAATGGTTATTCAGCAGACGTGCTTCGAATTTGAATGAATTTCGTGAAATAAAGCAATACCACAAATATGTGGTTTTTTATGGTGTCGATATCCAATCGATTATCATCCATGAGTGACTTTAAACTGAAGCTGAGTAATCAAAATGGAATTAATTTTGTGTGCACGGTATCAACGACCATTTCATTGTTACGCATTCGATGTCACATGCATTTGTAATCATATCGACCAATCGACCGCATAGTCGATGTTCCTTTGTTTTTGCTTTATTCGCATTGCGCAGTCGATGGAATTTTTTTTATTTTTTAAATCTCAGAATTGATACACAATCATAACTCCGAAATGAAGAGAGAAAAAAATCAATAAAATAACTGTTTGTTATTTTTAGAAGAAGTATGGTTTGTTTGATAACCATGTGAGATTCACCAGACCATTGTTCACAAGATTTAATTCGACGATTTCATATTGCGATGCATTTGAACTTGCCATTGGTATTATTTTTAACTACTGTCTCTCTAGTTCTCTATAGTTCGGTGAGGTTATCGAATTTTTCATTTTTTTCTTATTCGCTTGATCTTAATATCTGCATATTTTATCATATCGCATTAGTAATTAAAACGCAGTTTTTTTAATAGGTTCACACCTGGTTCGTAAAAATCACATAAATCGTATAAATTAATTGTTGCTAATTATGTTGAAATCTATTTTTAAAGCAAAATCATCCAATATATGCGTATTGAAGAAACGTACCTATTGAACATTTGAAATGTTTGCGCGTTTTCCAACCGATTATCTACTAAGTCTTCATGAGCATCATGCCATTTTTTTTGTTGTTGTTGTTGTTTTGCCTTTATTGTTTACTCGCCATCGGCCCTGCACGAAACAAAAGCATATAAAAAAACAACATATGCGAGCTCTTCTATGCGTTGTTCTCTCTTTTTCTTTCTTCATGTCTTAAGAAGAGAGAGAACAAAAGAGAGAGAAAAAGACGAAAAAAACGCCAATTTAGTTTAATGGTCAGGGTTAATGGTATGTATATAATTGTATGCAGTTTCGAATCGATTTATTCGCTCGCGTACTTCTCTTTTCAATGAGAGCCATGTGATCCAAACATACATTGTACTTTTTGCGGTGATGTTGTTGTTTTTGTTCGAGATGCTGATGATGAATGATAAGATGTTTGAAATATTTGGGCATCACAATATTGACACGATCATTATTTTCAGTAGCTTGTCTTGTTACCGCGAATTATCTTAATGTTATTTATATTTTCACACGCCACGCCAGCATATACGCACCATGGCTATTCGATCGAAAACAAAAACAAAACAACACAGAAATCACCAATGATGTTTGCATTCATTGACAATTGTTGTTATGAGCAGCAACAACAGCAGCAGCAACAGCAATAGCAACAGCAACGACGCAGCAGAGCAGTAAGACGAAAAAAAAATATGTGTCAAAGGCAAAACAGCAACTAAAATTGATGGTGCATTCAATAGACAAATAATGAACGTACTCTCAAGCACATCAATTCCACGTTTAAAATGAATTGAGCAAACAAACCCATTGTTTTTATTCAAATTCAGATCAAGTGCAATTTATAAACATAAACGCGCGTTGCTGTTGATTTTCTTCTTCTTCTTCTTTTTGTTTTGAGTACGGAAGCCCCAAGTGAGTTGAAGTTGAAGATTTAATGGAGCCATTTAGATCGATATCAAGTGGGTAATTTAAAAAAAAATGTGACGACGAATCAATTTGTTGTTTGTAGTATGGTGTTAATCGTGAGCGCCGGCCGATTATCAATTCAACCACACACCACTACCACCCAATTAATTACATGTCATTGCTACCACTCAGCACCTATATTTTATTATGATGTAACTTTTAAGCTGCCATACAAATGAAAAAGCGAAAAAAAAAATAATGCCACTCTCGCGGAGATACGTTTACCTCAAGCACCATTCAAAAGCTAATCATCGCGTTGAGAGCAATTGTAATTGGTTAAATGAGTATTAAAAAAAATTCCTTCAATTGTCAATGAATCGGAAAAATTAAATTACATCAAAAATATTCCATTTTACTTGCATATTCCAAGTTCAAATAAAAAATCACACACACACACACACACACACACATTCCCTTGTATTTTATCAATGTTTTTTTTTGGTATTTTTTCCATTTATTTATTTAGATTATTAGACAAAGTCAATAAAATGTCATCATTCAGTTCTTAATTAATTTTCTCCGTGTGGCAAATGTATCCAAATAAATTCGATAGAAAATGTAAGTAATCCTCTTCAACAAGTTGTACGATGGACTGTTCACAGAATGATGGCTCTTCTGGTTCGAAAAACAATTGAATCTCTTCATGTTCATCGTCAATGACAGTGTTTAATGATCGTCGATGAGTTGCTGGAGTCGATGATGGTAAGTCAAATCGTGGTCCGCTTGATGGTGAACCAATTGGACTATACTGTTGTGTCATATCAAATTTGGGTGATGTTGTGCTCGGTGATTTTTGATTAAGATGCAATTTTCGCATAACACCAATTCGCATTCGATCTGAATTACTGATTGATTTTCGACTGGTCGATGGTTGACGGTTAATCTCTTCGATTTGTTCTTTGGTCAATCCCAACAGTTTATAGCCATGTTTCTTTCGACGCAATGGTTCATCGCGTGCCACTTCTGGTAAGACACGTTTCTTAACAAAATCATAAAATACGGACAATTCCGTGGAAAGTTCACGTTTAATCAACTGTTTTTCACGTTGTGATAAATTAACATCCTTCAATGCAAGCAAACTTTGCGATGCCAATAGGGTTAGCACAAATTCAAGTGCGGTGAAACATAGTTCTGCATCCAAATTGGTTAGGTATTCGTTTGTTGCGGCTGCTGTTGCTGAAACGGTGGACAAGGCCGATATTGATGCTGTATAACTACGACGTCGTTGTACTGGCACCGTACTATTGTTTAACGTTTCATTTGTGGAATTTGTTTTCTTTTCGGCAATGCTGTTCAACGGATGTTCGTCAAATTTAAACTGTTGCTGTTGGACATAGTCAACATTCAATTTAATGAAAGAATTGAAAAAAAAAAAAATCAAAACTAGAAAACAGTTATACAATTTTTTAATTCATAACAAAGGAAACTTACAATATTTAAAGCCTTTGTGAAAATGATGGCAGCGTTCAGAATCGTACCGAATGTGAGTTGTGGCATTGTGGAGCCAACACTAAGTTTCGGTGCGTTAAATTGAATTTCAATCAATGGTGGCCATTTGGCTGGTAAAAATTCGGGATCTGACAGCAATTCCAATAAACTTGGACTGAATGCCATTAAACATTTTGAACAAACCGTTACGATTTCGATCAAACTGAAACAAAATGAAACCAAAACATGTATGCAAAAATATACTAGAAAAAATGTCTTTGAACACTTCAAAAAATTCACGAATTTTAAAAGTCACAATATCGAACCAATTAACATAATAATGACAAGATTTGTAGCTTTTTCATGAATGAAACGATGAAAATGAAGTGTGACAAAGGGTAAAAGAGAAATGCCATGTTAAAAAAAAATAATGATAAAATCCGTACACATTCATCGCTTTGACTTCATCATCGAATGTATCATCGTCTGAGCTATTTTGAACGTCCTTCAAGGTGGCCGTATTGTTTATCAATCTTTTCAAGTGTTTGGGTCGATATAACAATGAAACCGCATGATCCAAAAGCACTTGAACACATCGCTGCAAATGAAGAGAAATGACAGTCAATTTATGAGTGAAAAAGTGTATTCATTCATGTTTCATGGCAGAATAATCGAATTTAAAAGAAAATTCACTGGTACATACCATCAAATTTATCATACTCTGTTGATGCTCCAAACGCCATTGTTTTTCATATGGTACAAGTTCGCTAACAAGTTCCAGTGCATTTTTAATGAGGCGCATCGGTGTTTCGTTGAGTGCATGTTTCGATAACAATATTGAATCCATTAAAAATTCTTCATGAACGCCAACAAATGCGATTACCTCTTTGATGAACAGATGACCATGGCATTGCAATAAATTGTGTACCAATTGAATACCAAGGCTATAAATTGGCCACCATTCGTGTGATTGCCATGTGATTGGATTGGCTGAGGTTGTTGGATTTGATGTTGTTGTTGTCGTTGTTGTTGTTGTTGTTGTTGTAACTGGTACGGTATATGAAGCTTGCATCAATTCTTTTGGTGGTAACAATTTCATCCACAGATAATAGTCCAATTCGCAATACAACAATTGAATGGAGAATCGACTGTTTGTAAATGCAATCAATATATCGAGCATTTCCGATGACAATTTTCGTGCACAATGCAATGGCAATGTTACATGAAGACAGCTCAAAATGCGATTGAACACTCGTTCAGCTTGTAGTAATGTCTCGATGCGTCGAAAGTTTGAATTGTCATTGAAATCTTTCAAAATCACTTTGAATATATTTATCGATAAGATGAATGATAATGTTCGCTTATCGCTTTGTAACTTTCCGCCGGATGCTTTTAATTTGGCTTTCAATTCGGTTTCCGTTTCCATCAGTTCGAAGCATAAAATTTTAATGACCGATTCGACAAATTGCATTGTAATATCTGGATTTTCGCTTAATGTCAATGCAAACAGGTCAATTGATCGAAATGTTATTGCCAAAATTGATTCTTTTGCCCGAATATGCATTTCACGATATGAATCGGCCAATTGACTCAACAACAAATTGATGCTTGGCAAAACGTTGGCCGCATCAAGAACCGATGCGTTCAATGTATGCTTGTAGCTAAACAATAAACTCAAATACAATTCAGCCAATATGATGAATGGTCGCATGTCATCGGTATAATTCAGTCTTTCGGACAATCGTTTCAAACATTGTTCGGCAAAATATTGTAAACTTTCACTGGGCACCTCGATGCCATGACGATCTTTTCGCCGTAAAACGATGACAAATAAATCCTTAAAACTTTGCAAACGACAAAGCCAATCAGGTGTGTCATCGGTGACAATGTCCATTTCAGTCGGAATATCAAGTACATTGTCCACCCAATTGACAAATATGTTCTTGGTAAGGAATCGATCGAGTGTCTTTTTCAAATTTTCGTCAATGTTTTTTGGTTCGGCAATTCGATACAATTCCAAGCCAATCATATTAAATAGCTGCGAATAAACGCGAATCTGTGGCTTGATATTACCAAACAATGGATTCAAAATCGATGGCCAAAAATCTTTTTTACTTAACAATTTTTCAACCAATTGTTGCATACTGTTTTTCCACAACGAATGGAATAGTGACATAATTTGTGTCAGCAGCGATATTTCATCGATCGAATTATCCACAATGATGTTTGCATCTTTGCCCACAAGACACAAATAGTCTTCCATGTAGGTTAGAACTCCTTCTCCAATATCTTTATTCTTTGACACATCACTCGACGATTTTCGATCATCGTAGTTTATTTTGAAAAATGCCTCCGTCATGCCCGGCTGCTTTTCAATGCATGCTTCGACAAATTCCAAAACTCCGATTTTCAATTCATCGCATTCCAATTCATTGTCCAAACGTTCGAGAAATGTGGTCCTAATCTGTGATGGCACCATATCCAAACAGGCAAACAATGACATCTGAAATTCGATGGCAAAACGTCGCAATAAACGACATGACAAAATTGGCAAACGTCGATTGAATATATTTCGCATATATCCAGTCACAACCGGTATAATGTGCTTTGGCTGTGTATAGATCACATTCTCTAATGGTGACATTGTTGTTGGTGGTTTCTCATTTAAACGATATCGAAGACGAAGAATATACATTAAAATGGTCATGCTTAATTGAACGAGCAAATTAAAACTGGTTCGTTCGGTTGTCATCCAATTGGTCTCATTTTGCATTATTTCTTCGATGAAGGAATTTCCCAAGGCCACAATTCTGAATATGGGAGAATGAAAAAATATTTACTCAATCTTATACTATAAATGAAGAAATGTAATTCTTTTTACAGTACCTTAGAAGGGTCAAACCACTGTCCAAGTGCAAAAGGCTGTAAACACAGGTGTTGCGTAAAATGAAGCGGGCTCCACTGTCGTCAGATATTTTCAGTACATAACAAAAATGCTGTAGAATTTGAGCCAATATTTGTTGTCGATCCAGTTCGTTTTCAAAGCGCCAACTTTGAATGTATGGAAATACTTCTCGCAACAAGAAAATCAGTCCAGGCAATTCCAATGATACAGTGCAGTCCATTTGCGATTTCTATTTAATAAAAAATCAATTATTTAAACGGATATGCTTTGAATAACGAAGCGAACAAATTACTAACCGTTGCAAATGCTTTCAAAAATGTCAAATATGCTGTGAGAAATTCGTAGCGACCGGTTACTTTTTCGTACGAAACCAAATAGTATCCAACTAAACCGGTATCAAATCCGCCACCATTTGCGTACTCTTCAAAATTTAATTTATCCGTGGAGCAAAATGGTAAGATGTCCATGTTTATAACTCGCTTGAAAATCTCATTTTGATGCATCGGAACTAATGCAGTGCAAACGTTGAAGCATTGTGCCAATAAATCAACCGGTGGATTTGGTACATCTTTAAATTTTAGAAAAATGTCAAATACCATTTCGGTTGGATGAACCATTTCGCTGGAAATTTCCGATGGATCATTTACTCGACGCAATGCGGCTGCCAAATATTTCAAACCCCAATAAACGCGATTCTTACGCAATGGATCGATTTCTGGGCGTCGAATTAGATCGGTGAGCAATTCATTGATTTCATGATGCAAAGCATCAAAATAATTGACCGACGTCTTCAGACATATTTGAGTTCCGTCCGGTTTATCAAATACCGTCGCCACCGTTCCGGCTGGAATGACATATTGAATTTTTTGACTGAATGGATTAAAATCACGCATCAAAATGAATTCATTTTCATTGAAATCACTTGGTCGTAATAGCGTTCGTTGTGAATTATAGTATTCAGTGTATGCTGGCAAATTTTCAAGCTGCTTTCGAATCTATTTATTAAAAGAAATTGTTTCAATTAGAATAGTTGAAAAAGAAAACTTTTAGCAAAAACTTACGAATGCCGCCGATGAATTATTGGTCGTCGTTAGAGAATGTGCAATCATTGAAAGTGATACAAAATCAATGGGAAAACTTTCGATGGCCGTACGGAATAGTGATTGTGCACCACCTTCGGCATTTGTATAAAATGTTGTGGCAATTGTTGGATTTTTCAGCAGTTCACACAGTAAATCAAAGATGTTTTTGTGCTGTGCAACCGCACGATCACTATCGAAAATCTCACACATGAACGACAATAAATTGTAAACGGTTCGACAGGCGATTAGCGCAGCCAAACTTTGATCGCGAAACATTGTATGGCTTATCATCTTTTGTAAGTAGCCAAATACACCAAGTTTGGTTGCCTTCGTCCCATACTGTTGGAATCTCTGAAATTCAGGATTTTCTGCACGCAATTCAATTAATTGGAAATTCATCAGCATCCACGATAATAGAATTGGACCATGTTCTGGACTTTGATGCAACAGTACTATGTCTTTATCCAAATGTGCAGAAATCTGACGGAGTTTTTCGATATTTGAGGCATTTTGTCTAAAAAAAAGCACAAAATTGGACACAATTCAATTATAACAATTTACTATTTAATTTCAAAGTAAACATGAATAATTCAGTGGGTTAAATATTTCAAGGCCATGAATCTCGTTTTGATCATAAATTTTGTTAAAAATTTAAAAAACTACTACTTTGTACGAAATAAATCTATAGTTTTTCAATCAACGTTGCCAATTTTATGGCATTCACATGCATTCAAGAAAGAATGTATTGTTTTACGCATAAAATAGTGCCGTGTGCCAAAGCCTCAGTAGACATTTTCTTTGACAGCCCGTACAATTTCTTAATTAGAAAAAAAATTAAATCACACACTCACCTATTGTTCCCATCAATAAATTGATTTTCTTCAATACACGACATAAACAAGACCACTTCGCTGTAGGTAATTTTGATGACAAGATCTTTGTGCAAATTATTTCCATTCAAGTCCAAATACGGTTGTTGTTTACCAAACGCATGCTGTTTAAATAGCTCAACAAGAGTCCGAAACTCATCGACTTGAATATGATCTCGGTTGACAATGAGCAAAATAATTTGTAAGATTTCGTTTGTTTCGCGCAATTTGCGTTCGGTCCAAGAGACCAATTTGTTTCGTACGTTGAGCAATTCGGCATGAGTGGTTTTGAATGGAACTGGCTCTCGTATGAGTTCTTTCAGCTGTTCAATATATGAATGTCGTAATTTGGCCAGACCAATTTCTTGAAGAATGTATTCGTATTCATTGGCATACGGATGTGCTTTTGATTGACCTTGTTCCAATAAATTCTTCACAATTTTCAGCAATGTCATTCGTTCAAGTGCATAATAGTCCCAGATGCGATCCAACAGTTTTTCGGTGTTGGTTTCGGTTTTTAAGAAATTTTGTAAATTTTCTATTGAATCACTGTATTCATTATTTAAATAGCATCGCAATATATTCCATGCTTTCTCTTGTGTCACATCCAAATATTGTTTCAGTTTATCGATCAATGGCATTAGATTTGTGTCAATTTTTGTCGATTTTGTAACATCATTTTTTTCACGTTTAACACCATTCAGCAATTCGGTTTGAATGGCTTTCAATTCGTTCAAAACTGTTGGTGTTGGCGTCGCATAATGAATGCCCGAAACGATTTGCCAAACCTTTTTATATTGTCTATTTTTACGGAAAAGAAATAAAAAATTTTGAAATCAATCGAATTGAAATAAACGTTGTGAAATAGCATCATTGAGGTTAGGTCATAAAATTCTAACTTACATTAATTTTGAATCGTTTGCAGCGACCGACATGATTTTAACTAGTTTGAAACTATGCACACAATTTTCCGTGCAAAAAATATCCAATGGCTACTTTAAAGAAAAAACACGAAATAAACTAAAGAATTGATTTTTTTGAGTTTCACACATGAATGTCGGCTTCAAAGCGCCAAACAATCATTGTTTTCTATATTTTGACAGTTGCAGAATGATTGCTGTCAATATGATGGAGAGTATACACAGGGTTGTATACATGAACATATTCTTACTCATCCATCAAATTAGACATTGACAATTCATGTTTACTTCATTTCAATCGAAAACGATAAACAAAATATCAGTAGAATGAATCAGCTGTGTAATCTAAGTAGAAGAGATCCGTACTGAGTTGTCATGCTTCATAAATAACAAATAATTACAGAGTGAATGTGTCGTGTTTACAAAATCAACAAATTGAAACAAAAACAAACCATGTTATAACGTAAAACAGAGGAAGTGAGAAAGAAATGGCTACACCAACAAATGAACGTGAAAAATTTACGGAAAAATTGTTGAAAGAATGGGAACATATTGAAGATGAAGTGTTAATAAAAGAGGTTGCAACAAAAGGAAAATATATCAATTTATTGTTACAATTTTTGGTGCGACGCAGTGGAAAGCCATTGACCGATGTCAAACAATATTTTAACGATGAAGTTGACAAATATGTACATCGTTTGCTCACCAATCGACAAGTGCATAAGGCCGAATTGGTATTGAAAAATGTGGGCCGGCAACCGCAAGCGCTTTTCTATGAATTTGTTCAAAGTACATCACAGGAGCATATCGATGACGATATAAAAGATCGTGTTTTAGAACATTTACAACATTGTAACAACAATTTCGATGTGATACGCGAAGAATACGATTATTATTTGCTTGTGTTGCGTTTGGCACAATCGAATAAAACACTACGGCGTCAATTTGAAGATGAAATTCATGTGTTTACGCTGGAATCATTGCTGCGAAAAAGTGTGGAATTTCGAAAATTAATGGCCGTCACAACGTGTTTACACTGTAAAAATGCAATTCTTGTGGAAAAACTTGACAAACATATTACATGGACGTATCTATGGCGTTCCGAACAATTTCAATACATTGCCAATTGGTTGAATTTATTGTATGCCAACAAATGCAATTTGGTTACTGATGGCAGCCAAAAGGAGCCACGTTTTGATGTTGCCCTGAAGAGTTTATTTTCATCATGGGAAATTGAACCGGATATGTTTGCAAGTGTTCAAAATCATCCACAATTAGATGAATACATATTGAATAGTTTTGCACAGAATGGCATGATCGTGAACAATGAAAAAGATTCAATATTAACAATTTTACAGCGGATATTTACTACACGATCATTTGATACGAATGCCAATTGGCTTATGGTCGATGAAAATCTACAGAAAATCATAAGACTGATCTGTGGCCAAGAAAATTTGGTGCTGCTACTTTATGATATTTTTAGTGTGGAATTGATTGAAAAAATTGCACCCGAATTTCGTAAAATTAAAGATGAGATTGATCTGTGTTTGACGATTAAGCAAGAAGATTTTGAAACGAAAACCTCGATGGCCATTGTTTCGGAAAAATGCTCCGAATATATTATTAAAACATCGGATGTGGATTTTTACTCAAAATTTCCGCATATCTACTTAATGGAGCAACTGTTAAAAGATAAATCGCCAATGGATTTGGCCCAATCAAAAGGAAGTTGTGAAATTCTCGGAAAAATTTCGGTCATCGATTTATTTTTACGGAAGTTGAGTTCAACGCCCATCGTAAATGACTATGAAACCACATTGGATGAAATGCTGCAGCTAAAAAATATCGATCTGAAAGTGATCAAAGCTGAAATCTGTGAAGCGAATAATGACAATGCAACCAATGCAACTAATACTGAATTGATATCATTTTCAAATCAAATTTTAAATAAAAAATATGGCCAATCAACCGTTTTAAATTACACACACTATGTAAAGCAATATCGTAGCGCGTATGCGGTTTATAAATTTTTTGTTGATCAACTAAACACATATTCGCAAATATCGCATGCACAAATTCAAATAGCATGCGGAGCAGTGTGTGAAATTGCCGTTAATAATTTCGATGATAATGAACTGATTGCACATTGTGTGGCATTCAATGAAATGCTTGGCATAAATTCACAAATTTTACGAGCGTACATCAAATGCTGTCGAATTATCAAAGAAAATTCGATTGACAATTTTAAGCATGGCATTTGCTTCGGCGAAGATCTTGTACTCAAACAATGTGAACAAATTATTTTGAAACAAATCAAAAACGGTGAAAATTCGAACGAACTATTTGATGCACATAAATTGGAACCATTACGAATTTTGTATGGTGCACGAAATAGCGATTTACCATTGTCATTTCTCAAAGAAGCCGCCCGACGATCAAATTGGTTTCAATTTTTATTGTTTGCAGCCTATCACAATTATTCGATACGATCGATTGTTGATGTGTGTCAAATGGATTGCTTTGCAAATCGAAACATTGGATTGAACATTGGACGAGCACTCAAAGAAATTATTGTCGATGCCGAAATGTCACGGAGAACAAACAGTTTTTCGTATCGCGAACATAAACGAAAATTGTATGGTAAAAACGATGCCACCAGTCATTTGGTGAGTTCTTTTTTTTTTTTTTTTTTTTTTTTTTTTTCACATTTTTCGATTTTTTCAAGATAATCTATTAATATTTTCTCGAACTTTTCCAGCTTAACGCAAATCATAGACAAATTTCAAACTCAGTGAATTACATAGAAAAAATATCGCCGGCCAAATTGTTGTCGTGTCAACAATTTTTAAACATCAACGATGATATGGATATATTTGCTGTGATTTTAATTTGTACCTGTGAAATGCAATTACCGCAAGAGCCCGAACTGAATCTCAATATGATTAGAGAATTTATGAAGAATCCCGACACACATCAACCGTGTACGCATTTAAATTTAATACGTTATGCATTCAAAATGAAATGGCCAATTTTGAGTGTGTTAGCAGCAACGGTGAACGCAACGGTTGTGGATTATTGTTGGATCATCTGGTTAATAATATCGACTGAATTGTCATCGATACCAATTGAAATAGAAACATATGCCAAACTTGCACAGTACATCATAACACATACGGTGCAAGGGAATTATGTGCGAACATTGAATCAAAGTTTTGAAATTTTTTATCCAAACAGTAAATTTGCCTTATTCACATTATTTCTATCGAAAACGAGTCTATATCATTTTGTGCCCGAAACAAGTGCATTACTTACGGAATTTTTGTATGAATTAGACGAAGGAATGGTTTCGATAAATGGCTTAGTGCCAATGGCATCCGATGAAATGTTGCGATTCATCACTTCGTTGCTGGTTGCATATGTGAAACGAAGCTTTGATTCGATGGAGCATTGTCAACAGTTACTGGATACAATAAGCGCATCGGGCATCGGCAATCATGTTGATGTAATTGATTTTGGTATGATTGCGGCCATCAATCGAATTATTTGTTTTACAAAAGTTCGTCTTAATATTGATGAAATGTTGTGTCGTGCTACGTCCGATACGAATGGTGTTTGCATCGCCGTTGAATGTGAAACTGATATGGAAACATCAACGCTTTTACAAAACGAATATATTCGAATTTCCGACGAGTTAATTGCTGAAAAGCAATTTGCATGCGCATTAGAAATGGCCGACTTATTGAATCTCTCCAAAGATACCATCATCTATGAGCAATGGATCTATCAATTTGAAAATGATCAACATTTTAACATTGAGAATTGTGATCGTGGTATTATACAGCATTCCATTTCACCATTAGTGCTAGTGAATTTTTTGCTATACGTATCGGCCAAATTGGATTACACCGAAATCAAAAAATATTTGGTGCTAAAGAAAATTTTAAATGCAATCAAACAACATCATCTCTATCCCAATGAAGTGATACCACGTGATCGCATCGAATACGAAATGTACAAATGTGTATTAAAAAATGATACGCGCATCGATGACATTGAAATGTATAATTCAGAGTATTTTGAAACGATTATGATGGCGGAGCGTGGTGTTTTGTTCAAACCATTTTTGGATCTAAAAGATTTGGCCGGCGTTGATCAATTAACAATTTTTGCAAAAGATCCGCTGAAAAAACAAGAAATCGAGCGACTTAATCAGTTAATGAATCGACTGCTGGAACAAGGTGATGTTGTTCAAGCGCTTCGTTTACAAGGCATATTCAGTCATCGTACAATTGATTTACATTATTTAGTATTTTGCATGGCATTGGCAGAAAGTTTGGCCAGTTTATATGATTTGTCTTCGGAACAGAAGCAAATGCTAAATGATGGTCTTAAGCATGCGGCATCGAAATTCAATCGGCGAACCCTTCGATTGAAACGATTGAATACGTCGTACAGTACGAGTGCATCTTCGTCACCAGCTGGTAAGACTTAGGGGCAATTATTGATTCTTTCTCGATTATTTTAAATTAATCGTATTCTTTTCTTTTGTAATTCACCCCTTAGGTAAAACTTATCTTGATTCAGAATCGGCACGCGTCGATTTTGAAGAAATTCCACCCAGCGAAAAACAAGATCTTTTGGACGCAATTCAGGTGGTTACAATTTCATTTTCGTGAAACGATTTTAAATAACATTTCTTTTCATTTCCCTGCAGAGTCTTGCATCACGAGTTAAATATGGCTTCAAATTGGTTCAACGTATTGCAATGGTCTTTCGGGCTGCTATGCATTTGGAAAAAGAATATATGGATGTGTTACAAACAAAAGAAGCTCATGTTTTACTTCAAAGTGCTATCGATAATCCATGTGTAAATCGTTTACTCGTAATTAGCGACATCATGACATCAATGCAAATGACATCGCATGAAATAGCCAATTTTATCGCTGAACAAATCGCACGTGCAATAATCAAATGTCGATTTTATACGCTTCAAAATTCAACATCACAATCGTTTGGTCAAAATTTCCTATGGGAATTTGATTTGGATAAGGATTTTCATTTATTTTTGGAACTGTGTCCATGCACATCATTGTTGGGTCACATTTTGCTGCGATATTGTGATGCGCTAAAAATCTATCGTCAATTCGACTCGTTAAAAAATACGGAATACGATTTGAATGCATATGCAAATGCTGATGAATTGCGTGAAATTTTGAACAATCTTCGAACAATTATGGAGAGTCAAGTTTTGTCAATGAAAAAGCAAAACACAATTACCGTTGAACTTTTGATCAAAGCACATGAATGCTTTGTACATGAATGTTCAATGGAAGGTATTGCATTCGTGTTACAACGTTGTAAAGCGATCACAGCAGCACTAACCGCCGCCAAATCATGGCTATTAATTGTAAAACTATTGATTGGAGTTGGTCGATATCGTGACATGTACTATTGCTTCGAAATACTCATAAAAAATGAACAATTTGAATGTTTACTTGGACAATTTGGCGAAGAGAGTGGATTTAAAGATGCAATAATATCATATTTAAAAGAACATCATCCAGATGACAAGGAAAACTATCGATTGGCCGCTTTACATTTTCAAATGTTCCAAGAGTTGGCACAACTTAACGAATCCGAAGCACGACAGATCATTGACAATGAACTGAAAAAATACGAAAAACGCTCCGAAGACGAAATTTCCGCCGCATCGTTGAATCTATCAAAATATTCGACCGATCAATTGACCAGTGCCAGCACCAGTACGCTTAACGTTAACCCAAATATGAATGCATCTATAGCGGCCGGTGTAACATTTTTGGTGTGTTCAAAACCGCTGGTCGATTCATTAACTACGGCTATGGATGCATATTCGCATGCAACCGAAAATAGTTTGTGGGATAATAAACTTGGTTTGGCACAACGAACTGCCTCAAATGCTGAATTAGTTGCGATGCAAATTCATTTGGTACGTGACGCTCTTGATAATTCCAAATTGACTTGTATCTGCGTGTTAAATATTCGTGGTGAAAATGCTTTTCGCTATCTGGTCAATAATGATCTGAACATTCCTCAATCGTTGATACTCAGCCGCGCTTATCCGTATGAAATTACATGGACCGAAGCGATATTTAATCAATTTGTGCTACAAGGCAAAGACGACTATATTATAGAGTTTTGCGTTCGATTTGAACTGACCGACGATATGATTGAACATTTGGTTAAGAATTTCTTACAAACACAATCAAATGCCACGCCAAAAATGGAAAAGGCGATTTCAACAATTATTGAATTGGTGCAAAGTGTTACATTACGTTATAAATTGGCCTCGTTGCTCAGTGACAAACGAACTATTGCAACGCTTATCAACGGCGATTGTTTGTATTATCTGAAAGACACCAATTATGGGCGCAACGAAACTTTATAAAAATGAAACTTAAACGCTTGCAAAACACGACTTTTTAGAAACCAAATATTTTGTTTGTTTGTTTTTTTTTTCAATGAATGTTAAAAATTTGTTTTTGTTTGTTTGTTTTTTTAAATTGAAATAAAAATTAACTTTTAAAGTTGGAATAAAACTTATATTTGTCTAAAAATGTAATTGTAAATGTTTAAAAATTCAAATCCAGTGGCGGCACCATGAAATGTGATATTAAATATCTTCTTTATGTCTAGCCGGGCCGGTAATCCACTTGAAATTCATCGAAATCCGGACAAAAACCAGGCAATGTGACTCAAAATCCGTTCGCAATTAATATATCAATCGTTATTTTCCTCTATCTTGAATCAATTATACTCATAGACTTTGGATTTTTAAGTCCAATAGTTCCTTGTGTTTGATCTTCTCCGATCTTCTCATTCAAATGAATAACAGTAATTTATACTTACCTTTTATTCTGAGCCGTCCATTTGATCTTCATCGGAGCTCTATAGATATGTTATATGAGGTCAGAAAGAAAAAATAAAATTCCATAAACTCTTTTATCTTATACTTTATTCAATCAATAATCACGTTCGTTAAATACATTTTTCGGACAAAAGTTCATTAAAACTAGATAAAAAAAAGATTTTTAGAACGAAAAAAAAAAAAAACAAACAAAATGATTAAAATGTTGAATGAATGAGGCGTTTATCGTAGCTCTCAACCAAAACGAGTATAATTTGATCGTCGTACGTCTGTCAATCGGTGACAATATTCTCCTGTCGTTCCTTCAAATTTATTATATATATTTTTTTTGTTAAATGCTTGTATTTAGTGTGGACGCAGCAGCCGATAGTCGATTCTTAAATTTAGTGAAATTCGTAATTGACATAGGTTTGCGTGTCATCTTCAAGATGTTGATATGATCTTCGGATGGGCTGTGAAGTGTTGGCAATGTTATTCGTTTCGGTTTTCGTAGCTTATTTCTTTTGAGCATTTGTGAAATGGTGTGTTTGATTTCGGATTCATCATCTGAATCGGAGTCCGATGCGGTCGATGATGTTGAACTGAGTGATGTTGAATATGTACCCGGCATCCAGTCATGGGTCATTCTTGGTTTTTTACCTTTAAGCGCTGTGGCAAGTGTTGGTGTTAGCAGTACTTTCGATGGATACAATGATGTTTTCTTGGCTTTATATTTATCAACTTGTGGTGCAACATAAATTAAATCGGCACCCTTTGACGAATCCGAATCCGATGCACTGTTATCATCTGAATTATATAAATCGGCATTGGCTAGCATATAATCGGGAAAATATTCGCTGGTCTCGCTATTATCATTGTCGGCCAGTGCTGGTTTCAATTTCTTCATGATGTGCGGTGGAACTTCGTGACCTTCGGCATGTGCTTCGGCCATCATTTCAAGCATCTTAAATGGATTTTTCTTTTTTGGTACTTTCATTTTCTTCGGCACATAATTCATTTCACTGGTCCGATAATCGGATGCCGATGGTCGCCACATATTCTTTCCGAAACCCAATGCAATGCTCTCACTTTCGCTTAGCGATGGTATCGCTTTCAACAGATTGCTACTACTGCTACCAATACCGCTGCTACTGCTGCTAAGCTTCAGTGATGATGGTGATGCTGATAGTGTTTGCAGAATTGGTCCATGCGACAAGCTTTTTCCCGATTTTGGTTTAACAAAATGATGCTTGTAAATGGTTCGTGTATGTGTATGTTTCTTTATAATCTGCGGTACATGCAACTTTATATGAATACTAAAGTGAAGAAAAAAAAAAAACAGAAACAAGAGAGAAAGAAAGAAAACAGAAGAAAAATAGTCAAAATAGGCACCAGATGTCATGCATTTAATCAAAAACATGGAAATATTTTACAATATTTTGGTTTTTAGCTTTTTTATTTCTTTTATTTTTATTCTGTTGCATTCCATTCGGTTCCGCCTTTCATTCCATAGTGTAAAATTATGAGAGATAAAAGAATCAAATAATGATGTGCTGTGTATTTCGAAAAAGTGTGAAAAAGTCCAAGAAAAACACGAGTAATTAAATGTTACTCCATCTAATAATCGCCGGTATCTTGTGAATAGGTATAACCGATCAATTTATGTGCTTCATTTCGTTTGCTATCGACTTTTTCGATCTAATTACATGGCTTGCTTCTTGTTTGGATTGCAACATTTTCATTACGGGGGCCGATTATGTGGTGCGCTTGTTTTGTGATGCGACAACAATTAATAAATGTTTTTTAGTCTCTTTCAAATGAATAATGATGGCTGGACAAAAGACCGTTATAAATATTGTGCGTGTGTATTATAACGTGAAATGGGAAATAGATGACGTGAAAAAAGAGAAAATTGCGCTACACATTTGTTTTGTTTTTTTCTTTGCGTAAGAAAACAATTTTCAATTTTCATTCGATGCATATGACCGAAAATGTAAACCGTATATTTGGTTGAATACTGGCCTGCCCATAAAAGCGTGACATTAATTGACTCAATGGTTTTGTTTTCAATGCTGTGAACGGACTTTGAGTAAAAAGCTGCCTATAGGCATAACGGAATGAAACATGGACAAACGACAAACTGTAATAATATCGACAAACAATGTAATCATGCACCATTTAATTGCTGCCATTGCTATAAGCAGCCGCTGATTATATGTCCAAGACCATTATGCATAAACGCATTCTATTAGCACGATGGTGCGGTACACTTGATGCAAAACCAAAACAAGCCATCCGATGCATCCATATGACTCTCACTTTTATTAACATTTGTTAGTTTGGCGCTTCGTCAATGTTAATGAACTTTATGCGAGAAATTTATTTTTCTTTCGTTTTCTTCTTATTTTCCTTTTGAATTTTTTTTATCATAATCACCATCATCTATATATAAACATATATATTTTTTGTAAAATCGACATCATAAAATTTATGCGGATTCTTTTGAATTTAATATCTTTCATTCAAATCCATCAAAACCAAAGATAGGTGAATAATGTTGTGACGACAAACATGAGTTTTGAGATTAATCATTTTGAAGTTATTTTGATCAATCACAACCATCATGATCATGATTATTGACTTAAAGCTCTTTTCAGAGCATCGTATTTTCAATATTAGGAAATTTCGAGAGTAAATTTTAATGTTTTTATTGATATAATAACTCAAAGCAATTTAACGCAAGCCAAATCCGTTTTTTTCATCGTTGATTTTTGGATCATAAAACAGCACAAGCAAGACAAAAAAAGAACGGCATCGAGTCAAAATGCACGGAAAGACTATTTCATGCATTCAAAACAGTTAATATTTTGACTCGACGCCGAGTACAGACAGGTGGCAATGAAAGGAAGATTTCGTGCAATTATATTTGTAACGATTTGTTTGTTGTAGTTATTAGATTCAAAAACGGTAAGTGGAAGAGTGCAAATATGGTAAAGAAGGGTGCTTATCAGATTTAAAGTCTTTGTATGTTACGTACTGTTCATTGGATTCTCCTGCCAAGGCCGTTTGAATGGCTACCAAACAACAAACAGCGAATGAAAACCAAATCGTTGTTCCAACCATGTTACCACAATCAAACAAAAGATGACACACAAAAAAGTAAATCCCAAAGGTGTTTATCCGATGGTCCCCAAGTTGGAAGTGGTGATCGCTTCAACTGTCTTCTACCCAGAGGTTTGATGATCCAACTGTCGATTTTTTTTTTCACAAATTTGTTGAATCCGTAAATAATCACATATATATATATATAACACGAAAGATTGCGTTTAACTTCTTCGGTATCGTCGTTTGAATGTTTCTTCTTATTTAAAATTCATTCAAATAACAAAAGAATATTCAAAGCAAATATTCCAACAATGAGCAATCGAAAGTGGAAAAAAAGTATGCGATTTCTTTGCAAAAATGTAAATAAAGACCGTTATTGGAAATGTTCTCGTAACGATTTTTTTCTCTCTCTCTCTCTCTCTACCTTTTTTTCTTCCCACTGAATTTTAAATGAGTTATTTTATTTTCAACTTAATATATTCACTAAATTCTTTTGTTTTCGTTTCACTTTATCCAATTTTCTTATTCGTGAATTGGTTGTTTGTTGCAAAATTCTCTAGATTTATTTTCACTTGAAGTCGAAATAATCCGAGCGACTGTATTGTGAAGAAAAACAAACCGAATTTTCTTTTGGCTTGAAGATTGTTGTTTTCTTCGGAAAGGCACAATGTTGAATGACAATGTTTCAGCGGAGCAAGAATAATTTATATCTTTTGGCCTGCCGTGACGCACACTCTCATTCGGCTGTTGTATTCAAAACAATACATACAAACAATTGGCGTTTGGGTCTATTTCGATCCAAACGCGCAATGTTCGGCGGCAACGTTTGTCGCAAAAAGATAAACAAACCAATGCGCTACCATTGCAGTATATGCTACAGGTGGAATGGAAGCCCAACGAATAGCGCCGTGTGGAAAATGTTTCCAATTTCGCGTCACTTTAGCCGTTATAGCGATCGAAAAACAGAAGACGATAACCCATGAAAAATCAATCGAAACAAAATGAAAATCATTGGCAGAACATTGATCAGATGTGCGCATCAGCGCGCACACAATATCAAGTATGCACTTGTTGTAACTCAAACTGCAGCCTATGTTGGTAAGTTCAAATCAAATTCCAATGGCTGCGACAATATTCATTAGACCATGCAAAGGGATCAATTTCAATTTTCACATTTTTTTGTTGAGATTTTGTTTTAGTTTTCTTCTTCTTCTTCGTTGTCGTCGACGCCTTGTCTTTCTTTGCTGTTATTTAACTCTGAAATTACATCAAATACATGTGAAATGATCGGATAAGTCTCTCTGTCACTCTGCTGGCCATCAAATTGATATGGTTTGTGTTCAATTCCGTTATTTACCGTGTTGTCGTCGTTATTATACTATTTACTAACGTTTTTTTTTTTCATTTTCAATTACAATGCGCGTTGTAATAGGCCGGACAATGAAAGCCATTTTCGATCGATGCAATCCCATTTTCTTTTTCGTTATTGTTGTTTTTTTTTTTTAAATTATTTTAGCATTGGACACATACACACACAACACAACGAAAGGAAAAGTGATTTGAATTGCAGCTTCTGTGGCATTTTTCCTTTTTCTTTCGCCTTCTTTCGTTCATTCATTGTTTCTCGTCAATTGAAAGATTTGAAAACAGATACTGCATAAACTGCTCATTTTTTTAATATCATAATCATCATTCATGCGAATCGAATTTTGCACTTGTGAACGAACGAAAAATTGTGTACCCAGAAAAACAAAATTGCGGCTTAACAAAAATTAACAATGAAATAGGTAGCGGAGATGTAAAGTGGTTGAAAATTGGCAACGAAAAATTTGAATTACCCAAAAGTGACTATTTAATATCAGCTATTGGCGTAATCTATTTGCATTTTCAATCACTTTTTTTCGCACTCAATAAAAAGAAATCCAAATAAAAAAAAAATGGAAAATTAAACTGTCATGCAATGGAATTAAATTCGTCGATCGGAAGATTGAGCTGCATTATTTAATTTTCGAAAAGTTGCCAAAGGGGCACATAAAGTTGGTTTTTTTTTGTTTCAAATATTTGACTGCTTCTACACCGAAATTAATATTCAATTTCACGTACTTTTATCGAGACCAAATTTTGTTGATTTAAGGTTTTTCATTTTTAACTCATTCATCATGTATGCATAGGCCAAATTTCGGAATCTTTTATATGATGGAGCGGTTCACCGTATCTTCAACATTTTAATGTCGATGCCGATGAAAGTGCTGGGAAAATTTAAAGGCAAAGTGTAGTAAAAGGTGTTATGAAAATGAATGGAAAACATCGCGCAAAATAAACAATACAATTTAAATTACAAGCATCAATTTAAAATCACAACAAATGAAAATTGTTGGCTGCTATATAGACGCCGCTGCCGTCTGCATCAACAAAGCGTAAATATGTTAGCAGTGTTAGATTTTATAAGCATGGTAATTGATTTGACTAATCTTTTAAATTCATTGACATCACCATTAACCTTTTGCTAGGCTCATCGAGTGATGGCATCCTTGGGAACAGCCAAATATAAAACTTGACTTTATATTTATTGGGAATATTTTAAAAATATTGAAAATAAAATAATTGGAAAATTGGTATAAATATATTCCACGTCGAGAAACTAAAATCAAGTTCTAGGGCATTCAAATAGTAATTTTATTTCTATTGAAAATCATTTTATTCAATCATAGTTGACTTTATTTTCTTCGATTTAGACTACACCGAAAAGGTAATTGTGATCAAATGCGATTGAAAGTAAGAAGTGCCAAAAAATGCAACATTTTGTTGATTCTAAACGTAGGTGTTGAGATGCTGAAATTGTATCTGTTCATTTTATTTGAAAACGGAAATGATTTCAATAAAAGGAGCTAAGGTTACGACGAGATCATTTTCAGAGGTGAGTGCCATTAAGCGTTTCTTCCGTGAATGTTAACCATAACAGTAATAATACTATTATGCAAGTAGATTGGAAATCTCAACACAGATTGTTTGTTTGTTTCGTTTCATGGAAATTTACCGCATTCATTGCAATGCAAACAGAAAATCACTTTGTATACTAATATGAATGCTTGTAATTACTTTTACAAATAGCTCTGATAATGGGTGTTTATAGCGGGTGGCGTTCATTCAGTCACATGTGTTGAAAGTAATTTCAGTGACTGAAGACACACAGATTACAAACGTACAAAATACGAAAAACCGTTTCCCTGCACGAGATGGATAACAATAGTTTTGGCGAAATGAAAAAAAAAAACGAAAAAAGATGAATACGACAATGTCGACTTCAACGAAGAAATACCATGCGCAATTCCGTTTTTGGTGGTTTGTAATTATCTGCGTGTAGTGTGTGTAGTGTTTACAATGCGCATCCAATTATTCATCAAGATTGGAATCACGTTCTGTACTATGTTGCATAAAATAAAAAGAGCAATAACAACAGTGTACTGCTTCCTCCAGATTTCATATCACGGCATCCCATATCCCCGTTTTAATGCCAATTTTTTTGTCTTATTACAATCTGTGAAATATCATTACAGCTTCTTGTGTGTCATACATAGGAAGTTGAATATTAATCAAATTGATATGTGCACAAATTAATTGTGACACGCGCGCATTGTCAATTTGAAATCTTATTTCATTGTTTTGCTCTAATTCATCGTCACATTTGAACAAACTAGCAGTACTCCACTTAAAATCCACATTATATTTCACTGTTGAGTGATGATCGTGCTTCAAATGATGGGAATAACTTATGCTACCGCATAATTTTGCATGATTTACTTCTACGCTTACATCGGGTGTTGGGTGTATTTCTTTTTGCGCTTGCTGTTGCATTCATCGCAATCCAAAAATCATTGTACTTCCTTTGTTTTGTTGGGTGCTGCGTGGATGCTTTAAATACAAAAGAAAATATTATGCTAATGGAGTTTCACACATGTATCGTATCACACGAGATCGATTATAAAGATGTCTCCTAACCAAATGCAAATTATATAAACGGGAAAACATGATGCACATTTCTTCCGATCATTCTTTCACATATTTTCTTTTTAACCGGAGAATGCAATTGATTCATTAAGTGTTTGTTTTTCATTTCACTACTCTGTCAGTTTTTTTTTTTTTTTGAATTTGTTTTTGTCGAAGAGATTTTCATTGAAAGACTTTCAATCTTCATTGAGTTTTTAAATGAAGTGCATTTACCTAATTGCTATACTTTAACTTGAAACAATGTGTGCCCTTTCCCATGCTAATTGTTCCAATAAATGAGAGAAATTCATTTTCCAAGCTGTCGAAGAGCTGCAGCAATGTAAAATCGATAGTTACATGCCTCAAATGCTAAATAGGCGCAATTATTTCCACAAGAGTTATTTTTATTCTGTTTCTTATTCTAATCTGATTTTCCCATTGAGATTTCAACCGTTGGTCTGTATTTGGCGTTGAGATTTCAAGATACTTCATCAAACGATTTCATTACTGGATATTTGGAATATGATTGAAGTGTTCAATAGAAAATTTCTATGGTACGGCACTAATAATGAAACTAAAATCGTGTCAATCGCATATTCATTCAAATGATGCAAATTACCGTAATCATGAAATAATGTGAAGACAATTTAAAAATTACTTAAGCGGCAATTACTCAAAATGAAAACTCATTTGAATTGAGTTGCAACGGTTCTTCCGGTTGCATTTTCTCTCTTTTCATTTTATTTTCTTTTGGTGTCAAAGTGAGCGATTATTTTTTTCGTGAAATTGATTCCTTTTTGTCAGCCGCTGAAAAGAAAATGGCTCTTTCTCTATCACACACACACACACATACATGAGAAAACTGATATGCGAAATTTGAAACTATTTTTCCGAGTTCATCGCACTCATTTTTCGTTGATCAATTTATGTGGTGTTTGCCACTTGAAGATCAAATATACGATATCTAACTATGCCATGCATTCGTTGGCTGGTTTGCATTATTTGTATCAATAATTTTGCATTTTATATGTTCAATGATGGAAATTTGTTGTTGTTGTCGAAAATTCAACGGTTTGGCAGCTTATGCGAATATGCAAGCAAAAAGAAAATGCGAGATAATGGAAAAATAAACAGAGAGAGAGAGAGAGAGAGAGAGAGAGAGAGAGAGAGAGAGAGATAGGCAGACAAAATACAAAGAGTCGTATTTTGTGCGAGCACACGAGCAAGTGAAATGTTAAGTTCATTGGCAAATTGAACTGAACGATTTATAACATTATTTATTGCCTTTTGTTGTATGCACAAATCAAATTGTCTTAAAGTTACAAACGTACACGAAATCAAGATAAATGCCAATTCTTCGACTACTAATTTGATTTGATATCATTATTATTTTTAATGCGGTTGCGTTAGTTTATTTAATAATTTATTTCTATCGTCTGTTTTGTTGGGTTTTGCTCGAATTGTTTTGAAATCGAAAAGAAAACAAACATTTGATCTTGAACACTTCCCTCATTCTTGAATGCATATTTTTATGCATTACATTGTATATTTTGATGGGCCTTCTCGCTTTGTTTTCTCTTTCTAATTTCTATGCAACTAAAGATAACATCAAAACAATGCACAAATTACCAAATTTAGAAGACGTAGATCGTTGCTCGATCGGTCGACTGATCGTT